AAAAAAAAAAAAAAAAAAGACCCAAAGGAGCAGGCCCAGCCCTGCTGCCTCATGGAGGTCAACCCACGGCCCGCCTGCCTGGACAGTGCCGAGACCAAGCAGAGCCTCTAAGATGCCTCCACCTTGTGGCAATGGCGGACCCTGCTGGGTTGGACGAAAAGCCACTCAGTATAGAGTCTCAGAGGAAGGGACAGGCGGGGCGAGGGTCAGAGGAAGGGCCAGGCGGGGCGAGGGTCAGAGGAAGGGACAGGTGAGGTGAGGGACAGGAGGGACAGCATCTCGGTGGGGGAGGCAGGAGGGACAGGCAGGGTGAGGGTCAGAGGAAGGAACAGGTGGGGTGAGGGACAGGCGGGGTGAGGGCAGCATCTGGAGTGCGTGCTGCAGCAGGCCAGACACCTTTTCCAGCCTCCACTGCTCACTGGCAGCACCAACGGGGCAGCACCGAGTGCGCCTAAGCAGGACGATGAAACATCAGAGGGGCTTGGCCCGGCTGGGTGGAGACTTTACTAAGTAAATAGGCCAGGGCAGTGGCTCACGCCTGTAATCCCAGCACTTTGGGAGGTCGAGGTGGGTGGATCACCTGAGGACAGGAGTTCGAGACCAGCCTGGCCAACACGAAGAAACCCTGTCTCTACCAAAAATTCCTAAACTAGCTGGGTGTGGTGGTAAGCACCTATAATCCCAGCTACTCAGGAGGCTGAGGCAGGAGAATCACTTGAACCTGGGAGGCAGAGGTTGTAGTGAGCCGAGATTGTGCCACTGCATTCCAGCCTGGGTGACAGGGTGAACCTGTCTCAAAGAAAAAAAAAATAGAAAACCAGAATAAACCAGGTGGTCCTGAGAAACCCAGAGACTCAAATATGGTGGGGGGTTCTCTGCAGGGCCCACAGAGCCAGTGAGCCCTGCCCCCATGCACAGCCCCTTCCAGGGGAACTCTGGCCGCCTCTCGTAGAGCTCCAGCTGGTGCAGAAAGCGCTTAGAGGCAAACATCAGAATCATTGGTGCAGGTTCCTCCTGGCGCTGCCAGCCCACCCCAGGTGCCTGCTGAGCTTTTGCTGAGTCTGTACTTTCTTGACCCAGTGCAGCCACAGCCGTGGAGCCTTCAGTGTGCAGAGAACACAGGCCATGAGCGCAGAAGCTTCCAGAACAAGAGTGACGCTGCTCCAGCAGAGCTCTCAGTCAGGAGGGCAGGTGGGTCCCATGTCCAGGCCCAGCCCAGTGCCCAAACACACTGGACATGCCCCCTTGTGTCCCACGCAGGTTTCAGTCCTTTCTCTTTCCTCCACCTGGCACCAGGGCCATGAGAAACAACAAGCGGGAGACCAGGAGGCCATGAGGCTCTGCATGTGGATCCCTGGACCAAGGTCACCGAGCTGTCCACATGGACTGAACAGGCTGCACTGGGCCATCAGGCTTGCTCAGGAAGCCTGGGCACAGGAGGGTACCGGGTGCACAGAAACCTGGCGGGAAGGGCCGCAGGCCTGCTGCACTTGCCAGCAACCACGAGGTTCTCGTGGAACAGAAGGAATGAAGACCTCCTGGACTACAGGTGCCACCAGATGCCAGGGCTTCAGTCTGGCCACGCTGCCCCGTGCACCGGAGGCTCCGGCCTGGCCGCGCTGCCCTGTGGACTGGAGATGCAGTGGGCTTGGGATTCCCACCTGCACAAGGAGAAGGAAGGGGAGGAAACCCCCCTGAGGGCTGGCACTGAAACCGGCCGCCCGCGTGGGGCAGGGAGACCTTATTTACACTTTATTGACAGACACAACACGTATGTACATGCGTCGCAGCACAGGCCCTGTGGGCAAGACCGGACGCTCATGATCCTAGGGATAAAAAATCTCTCCGCGAGCGGGCGGGGGGCCCGGGCGGGGGGAGTCTGCTCCCCAGGGCACCATTCGCTTAAAGTGTGTTAATAACTTGTCCAGCAAGTTTCTTTACCTTCCCACACCCTTCTTCTCAACGTCCCCCCAGAGTCCTCAGGGGGGCCTTCGACCTGCAAAAGCCTCACAGGAGTGCGAGGGGCCCCAGCTCCCAGGGCGGCCGATGGAGCCTCACACGGTCACCTTCTCCATCACGCTTTCAGCCACGTGGACTTCGTCTGCCTGGACCGTGACAGCTGCTGACTGGCCGCATATGTGCTGGTGATCCTTCCAGTCCTGGAAGGGAGGACACACCCATGTCCGCAAGGTCAGTGGGTGCAGCAGGGCCTTGGAGCAGGGTCCCCAAGGTGGACCCCAGGCCCCTCACCCCAGAGGGTGCAGCCCCCTGTGAGCCCACCTGGGGGTACTGAGAGAATGCCCTCCCCAGTGCGCCCACACTCTGGTGGCCTCTGCTCCAATACAGCCTTCTCCACACTCTCTTGGTTTGAGGAATTGGATCAAAAGGCAAACAACAGGTGGGGCGTGGTGGCTCACGCCTGTAATCCCAGCACTTTGGGAGGCCCAGGCAGGTGGATCCCCTGAGGTCAGGAGTTCGAGACCTGCCTGGCCAACATGGTAAAACCCCGTATCCACTAAAAACACAAAAATTAGCTGGGCATGGTGGCAGGCACCTCTAATCCCAGTTACTCGGGAGGCTGAGGCAGGAG